TTTATTTTTCTTTATTTTTCTTTATTTTATTTTTCTTTATTTTTTATTGCTTCTCTGTAAGCGTTCTTTTTTTGTCGTGGGCCTGAACCTGCCCTGAACCTTTTTTGTTTTTTGTGTTGGGTTTTTTTTTTTTTTTTGAGTACTACGGAGTTGCGTGGGGGGCGCCCGCGCGGGGTGGGTTTTTCCGATTCCTGGCTGACTCTAGCAAGAGGCAGGCAGCTGGCTATTGCTGAAAAGAAGCTGATCAGAATTCAGAAGTATTAGTTAATAAGTGCCTGATCCTGTTGACCCTGTTCTGGTTCACCCACTCAACTATGCGGGGGTGTCGAAGAAGGTGTCCTGCCAGTTAAACCAATTATAGCTGGCAAGTCGCAGGCATCAGCATTAGTGGAGGAGTTGGAAGTGAGGCCCCGTCGCATCATACCGTAGTGTCTTTTTCTGCTCTTTCTTAGGCCAGCAGAAGGCCAACTTTAACCGTTTGTGTCACAGAAACCTGTGTTGCCTTCTAGTCCGGTTTGGTTTGTGATACCTCTGGGATGCGTCGGATCTCAGGGCTGGCAGCTTGGACTGCCGATGAGTAGAGAGCTCATGTACGATGAGCAAAGGCCTCAGAAGCTCGTAACAGCCTGAGAAGCTGTGGTTAGAGGCAGGAGGCTGGAGTGTTAATACATGGAGAACTCGAGCATGTTTTGTGTAGGACAGCAGCTCTGTTGTCTACTTTTCCATAAGGTGTGTAGGGCATAGGCAAGGCCACAGGAGAAACGAGCACTCTAGCATAGAAAAGCAGCAACTTGGGTTAATAAGCAACGCCGTGTAATCAAGACTTGTTACAAACCTTTTGTCGTAGTACTCTAAACGCTTCCAAAGAAAACTTTTGTTTTTAAAGGCAACAGGAAGGGTAGAATCCTGACCCTTTTAATCCATGGGAAAGTTCGTACTAGGGCTCACATAAAGGCCAGGATTGTCCATGAAATTGTCAGAAATTTTATTTTTAGTCCAGACTGGGGATCAGATTTAAGATCACTAAAAATATGTGCAGTGTTATGACAAGTACCCTCCAATTGATAAGGCTTAGATCTGGTTATCCCTATATACAAGAGCAGATTTCAAAGGCAAAACAGAGGGCATTAGAAATTGCCTTTTTTTTTCCTTTTTTGAAGCCCAATTGAATACTAGGATAAACAATTGTTTACATTGTGGCAAACTCAATGAAGAGATTAGAGACACTTGCTGAGTGAGTCTCGTACTCTGTAGAAATCTCTGGTGCTCAACAAGATGCGTAACTTAGATCAAATATTTGTGTATGCTAATTGAAGTAAAATACATCAATCAGTATATTGCACTTTTAGGTAACAAAAATGAAGTATAAGTCAACTATTGCTTTCATATGCAGTTACTTTATTTTAATTCAATTATAAGCCCCGTATAGCTAACAACAGTGAAGTTAAAATAGGCCTTTCAGATTAAGGACTTTTGATTTTAGGTGATGATATATATATGAGAATGAAAGCGTTCCAAGTCTTTGGCTGTTGGATGTTTTTCTTCTTCTTTTGGCTTATGGACAGATTTTGTGTGTTGTCATTTTAGCAGGCTGTGCTTGTTTTGTTAAGCTCTAATTTGCCATCATCTTCTAAGTCAGTTTAAGATTATATTTTGCTTTTTCTGTGCTTTTCCAAAATCGTTAAAATGGCTAGTAAGAGAAATCGCTTTGTAATAAGTAATCACACTTTTGTGGAAATGTTAATAGCAACCCCTGTGACTGTTTATTTAAATACAAACACACATGTCCAGACAATTTCTATGGAGCAAAAGAAATTAACACAATGCCATGAAAAACTAGAAGGAAAAGTGTTGAAAGATGACTTGCCTCAGTGCAGGCTGATAAGGTATCACTTACAGACACCTGAATTACAGCATCATGATTAAGCCTGAACAATGGCTATAAACCTGGCTTCCTTCTTTATGTTTAATCTCTCATACGTTGGTAAAAGGATGTGAATCTTATCACTGTATTCCTTCAATCGTATATAAGAGAACAAGTTATACAGCTGTCGCACAGTCCTGTTTCTCATGGTACAGGCAGCATGATAGCCTTAAAATCAGTAGTATTAAAATACTGTTATTGGTCCCATTATCAACCCATTAAGAAGGGCATTTTACGACATACACACCTTTCAAATTAAATTGAAGCCTTCCAAAGGCTTATACATATGTTAATCCTGTCCTTATGAAATGTGCAAAATAACATGGTTTGAGGATGCTTTGTCTAGTACAGGAAGCAGATTGCTAATATATGGAATTGGCTTCTCTGATATTTCATAGAGGGGATGAAACTGTGAAACGGGTGAGTGTTAGAAGGTGAAGGTGAACTATGACAAGTGCTCTGTCTTTCCCCTCCTGTACCTTGGAAGGGA